TCACCTTGCTTAGTTTGGCTGGTTGAATTTTCTGTTTCAGACTCCTTTACCTCCAGACTAGCAGTTGATTCTTCAACAGCTGGAACACCATTGTCTTCGGCTTTAATGGGCTCTGAAGCGCTTGAGTTATCTTTCACAGGAGCATCAGATGGGACCACAGCATTGCTCGCACCTCTACGGTTCCTCCCTTTATTCGACTTTCCAGCCATTTTCACCCCCTATTCTGATAATATTGTCAAGATGCCCAAGTCATAAGCACTTGCTCAAGCAATAGAGAGAAAATACTCCTACTTTTTTGCTTTTATAGTGATTTTATTCATTTATCATATGATACCCAATTCGAAAACATGGAAAGCCTCCATCTTTCCTACTAATTAAAAATGCATACGAACTTGAACAAAGATTAATGGAAAAGACATAAATTTCAAGAAAAGTTCTAAAATAGGTCACGAAAGCATTCTCTTGTAAAATACAGCCATTATATAAAAGGGTAAACAATTAATTCCGTTTGGCTGCCAAGAAATTGGTAGAAAATGAAAACAAAAAAAACATTCAACCTTCCATTTCGTCATTTTGCAACAACTGAAAGACAAGCTATATACATATACATACATATATACATATAACTTTTCAATCAACTGAGCCAATAGCAACAATCGTTCATTCATTATTTGAAAAACGCAAGAATCAAACTTTCATATTTGCTTCGTTGTCAGTATATTTTCTCGGGACCCAAACCAGGGATTGGAAGAAAGCAAACAGATAGAATAAGAGTGAGTACAAATATATTACCTGCAGCTGGGGCGATATATATAAATATATCTCTATATATGTATCTGTGTGTGAGGACAGATGATAGAGACGTCGGAGGCTGAGGGTTTTAGGAGGGATGGAGAGGGAGGAACAGAGAGAGGCTGTACCTGCAGAGTACGAGAGGCGGCTAGTCTGCCCTCTTTATGAGAGAGAGTAGAGTGAGAGAGTAGAGGGATGATTATGATTCTTATTAATTCAGTCATTGACATGGGCTGGGCTTTTTTATTTAAATTTGTAATTATTTTCAAATTATTTTTATCTTTTAAAATTATTTTTTTGAACTATTTTTCTTTTAAAATATATTTTCTTTTAAAATATATTTTCTTTTTAACTTCCTTAGACATTAAATACCGTTGTTGTCCTTTTTAGTTGAATTAAAAATTCGCATTTATTTTGAAAGAATATAAAATTAACTAGGAGCAATAAACAAACCAAAATTACACAAATACATGTGATTTTTTTCCATAATAAAAAAATGCTTCTCGCACACAAGGGTGTAGGGAGTGGCTAGTGAATTGGATTTGAATGACTCATCCACTAAAATTACTATAAATTTTGCTTTCACCCGTTTAATAAAAATTCATGTTTACCATTTTTAAGTATTTTATACAAATGTTTTTTTTTTAATAATTAAGTGGGTTTCTAAGAGACAAAGGTAAAAAAGTTGGAGAGGCCTCAAACGCCTAAAAAGGGCAACAACAATGAGTGATCTTGTTTACCTAAAGAAGTTAAAAAGTAAAAATCTATTTTAAAACAAAAATAGTTCAAGAAAATAATTTTAAACGATAAAAATAATTAGAAAATAATTAAAATTTTAAATAAAAAAAGCCCAACCCACATCAACGACCAAATTAATAAAAATCATAATCGTCTTTCTACTTTATCACCCTACTCCCTCCCATTAAGAGGACATACTTAGCCGCCTCTCGCACTATCCATCTACAACCTCTCTTTGATCCGCACTCTCTACCCCTCTAAAACCCTCAACCACCGACGTCTCTACCATCTCTCGGCACAAACACAGATAAATGTATAGATATATTTATATAAAATAGTAACTCATTGGCATAAAATAGAAGGTTTCAATTAAACCAAATATAATTAGCCTGCAAGGAAACAACTCAAAACTACATATCTTTATATTCACTCATGCACTGATTATGCATGCAAATCATTTCCAAGTGAAATAAAATGTTTCTGTTTTCTGTGCATATGTTGTGTGTGAGAAAAGTTCAACAGACTTGTTCAGAGACATGAGGAAGTAGTTAGAGAATTTCAACAATTCTGCTAGGTGCATGCGTTGTGTGTGAAAACTCATATGAATGGTGTCCAACTTTTTAAATTTATATTTGACATGATTTTCAGATTTGGGAGTGTATTCAATTGGGATTTTGAGGAATTATAATTCTTTTAATGATTCTAGGGAATCAGGATTTTAAGTGATTATCTGAAATTCAAAGTGTATTCATTTAGAATTTTAACATAGTTTATTAAAATACTTAAAAATCCGGATGTATTCAATTAAAACTTTAAATAAGTTTATAACATTCCAAGTGTATTCAATTAGAAATTGATTTTAAAGAATTTGAGAAAGTTGAGGAATTAGAGGGAATTAAAGAGATTTCGTAATGTATTTTAAACATCCACAAATCTTGTCTCTCCTCGTGAGATTTCAAGGGAATTGAATCAAAATTTTATATGGAATATCTACAAATCAATTAACTCTATAAAAATCCATGGATTTATAAATCAATTAAAGTCTCTCAATTTCTCAATTGAATACACGCCAATATTATTTTTTTTGTCAAATGATAGATTTGTTGATTCAACGTTAAATTAGATAGCCAACGAAGTTTGAACCCACATTTTACGTAACAGTTGTTTTGTTGTATAGGTTTTTTTAGTAACTGTTCACTTTTTTTTGTTTGTCTGAGGGCAATTTGCTATATTATTTTATGGTGAAGTTTATAACTCAAAAGTAGGTGTGGCTTTATAATAATAGAGGTGTATATTATATTTTTACTATGCTACTAATTTGAGTGAAAACTTGCACTTTTGAGGGAGATGGATCCTTTTCCAGATTTATCTTTACGAACATATAAAAGTTTTTTTTACCAATCATCTATTCGATTTAAATGGTTAATGTGGGATATAAATTAATCACATTTAATAGAAGAATGACATGTAAACTTTTAGCTCAATATAATGATTTTACTCCTAACATCGAGGGCATATCACACCATAATTTAGAGGCTAACATATGCTTACCATGTAGGTTATGGGCCTTTAGCCTACATGTATATCAATTGTCATTTGGGCCCATGATATCCCATTTTGCCAACGGGCACTTCCACGACCTAAGGAGGGGAGGGTCGGCTGTTCAAGAGTTCTCTGTCATGTCTCGTGCTACGGCACCACTACCTGCCAGAGCCCTCTCAATTACTTCATGTAGTTGTCGCCAAAGCTAGTTTGCATCATACTAGCATAACATAGCCGATCTGCCTAGTACGTCATGAGACCTCCCCACCTATAAAAGCTTTTATCCCATTCCTCTATCCAATTTAAATGGTTAATGTGGAGATATAAATTAACCACATATAATAGAAGAACGACACGTGGACTTTTAGTTCAATATGACAGTTTTACCCGACAACGTGAGCATACCTCACCAAAAACTCAAAGGGCCCGACATCTGCCTACCCTATAGGTCTTGAGCCTTCATTCCACACACATATCAAGGTGTCCTTTATGCCCATGATATATGACTCATGTCACCGTGCCTTCCCCGGTCCAAAATATATGCTTCTAAAATTGATCATACTTTTATTTCTATTGTTCATGATGTGCTCTCATATTTTAAAAACGTCTTATTACACCGATAAATAAATAGGAAAAAACTACTAATTAGAGCCAAAGAGAAGAATGAGTTAAACGCATAAATGAAGAACGGATGAAATTTTTCTTCAAAGGTGGATAGTGATTTTAACAGCCCTTAATGAAAGTGTAGCAAGTTGCATATTCCTTTTTAGTTCTTACAAAATTCAAAAGGAGGTTAACTAAAATAAAAGGAAAACTAATGAAAATGGCTTGAAAACTTTGAGTTTTAATGATAAGAACAAAATAAAGGGTAAAGTGAATAGTACCAGGATTGACTTTTTAGTGTAAAAATGTGGTTTTTCATTAAAGTGAACAGTACTGGAGCTTTTCGTTAAAGTTCCCTAAAATAAATCATAAGAATTTAGCTCAGCTAAGCATTTGTCGAGATTTAATTCAAGGTTGAGAAGAAGAGAGAGGAGAGAAAGAAGAACGACTTATATTAGATGAGTTTGGATTGAAGTAGGTTGGCAAAAAACACTAAATATTGCTTTACTGAACTTCTTGGAGGGATCGAAGTAGGTCGACTCGACTCTTGTTTATGTCCCTATGAAAGAGAAGAGGTGTCTAAAGAAATAGACTAAAAATATTTTTGGTGAAAATATTTTTAGAACAAATTCTTAATAAATATGTAAGTAAATCCTGAAAAAGCACTTAAAGCGTTTCTTAAAAAAAAAAAAAAAAAACTGGTATAGTGTCTCAGGACATAAGGTTGGTGTAAAATGTTGGGCTAAAGCGAATCAATGAACATTATCTATAAACTAAAGCTCAGCATAGAACCACTGTTCATCATGTGAGAGAGAACACTGTTCACCAACAGTGAAAGGGTGAAACTGCCCTTGGTTTCTGCTTTGGTCCCCGTACTGTTCACACTTTGCTACAGTAAGAAGTATGTTTTGTCCTTGCTGCATGCGCATCTCTCATTCCTCCGTCTCTGGTCTTTTTTTTTTTTTTGGGTTTTGCTCTGCCTTTTCAGTACATGCTTTCCACATGTTGATCATCGGCAGTGTTTCTGTTTAGAGGATTTTACCCTCGCTGCCCACGCGTCCATCGTCGTTGAAGGTACCTATTCTCGACTCTTCTGCGTCATTCCGCTCTCTCATCTAAATCCAAAAGATTAGATCGCAGCTTCTCAAACTCTCTTACACCGCCACCATCAGGCTGCAATTGCTCGAAGGCTGGGTCTCCAAAGAGGTCGTTTTGTAAAATGCTCTCTACTTAAGGCAAGTAATTTGAAATTTTGGTACTGTTTTTCAATTATTATGCCCAATTTTGAATTTAAATCTATTTACTTTTTTTTTTTAAATTGACTTAGTGTTATTGAAATCAGCGATGGAAAAATCTGCCAAAAAACGCAAGATTTCAGTATTCAAATTATGGGTTCTCTCTGACTTCACAATTGTTGGATCTAGGTTCTCTTCAGACTTCACAATCTGCCAGAAAACTCAAGGTTCGTCTCTCTCTCTCTCTCTCTCTCACCTTTTTTTCAATTCATGATCGTATTTGCTTTGCATGAATGCTGGATCTATTGCTTTCGACAAATTGTGCACTATGTTTGCTGCACTGAATTTTTGTTGTTGTTTGATTTGATTAATTCTTGGGAAAATCCAAGCTGAATCCCGTTTTGATTCGAAGAAATTTTATACCCAGCATAACTTGGTTGCCGTTCTGATTTGAAGAAATTTCAAACCCATGAAAGCTCGGGTTTCCTGGTGAGTTCTCCGACATATTTGTTTTGGGTTTGGTTTTTGGGTTCTTTTTTTTTTTTTTTCAAATTTTTATAATTTTAATTTTAAAAATATAGGTTAAATAAATTTTTTTGATTTTAACATTTACCTATTGGATTGCATGAAATCAGTAGTTAAAGAATTCTTTTGTATGAGAATGCAATAATGGACATTTTTTTTTGCCCAGCGAATATGTGAGTTAAAGTCTTAAACTTTTGATTTAAATTTTTTAGAGCTTTTATCGTATTTGTTATCTATGCTGATGTTAACAGTGTTTTTTATTTTATTTTTTATCATAATTTTGTTTTATTTTCTGTTGGGCAGCTTTTGGTGTGCTGCAAATGTTGATTTATTACTCTTTGCGTACACTTTGCCTTGGAGCTACTAAGTACGCCAAGGTATACTAACTATTTGACCGCATGTGTGATAGTTGCAATATTGTGAGGTTTTGAAATGTTAATTATAATGTTAAAAAGCCAAAAAAATTGTATGGATGTGATCGTTCAATATATGGTTATAGAGTGATGATTATTGATCTTGATGCACATCAAGGAAACAGTCATGAGACGGATTTTACCAATGAAAGTAAGGTACTTCTCAGTCCTCATAGGGATTTGAATATTTAACTTGACCCTCTTCTGGAATTCCAATAACTGTTTTGCATGAACGGGTTGAGTCTATATGTTAATAGAGTGTTTTTTTTTTTAAAAAATCATAATTTTGTTTTATTTTATGTTGGGCAGCTTTTGGTGTGCTGCCGATGTTGATTTATTACTCTTTGCATACACTTTGCCTTGGAGCTACTAAGTACGCCAAGGTATACTAACTTTTTGACCGCATGTGTGATAGTTGCAAATTGTGAGGTTTTGAAATGTTAATTATAATGTTAAAAAGCCAAAAAAACCGTATGGATGTGATCGTTCATTATATGGTTATAGAGTGATGATTATTGATCTTGATGCACATCAAGGAAACAGTTCTGAGACGGATTTTACCAATGAAAGTAAGGTACTTCTCAGTCCTCATAGGGATTTGAATATTTAACTTGACCCTCTTCTGGAATTCCAATAACTGTTTTGCATGAACAGGTTGAGTCTATATGCTAGATATGTACGACCCTCGAATATATCCATTTTTAAGTTTCCTGCTCTTCTAATGCTCTAAGATGCAAGCTTTTTGCACCAAAGTTACCAGCTGTACTGTTGTAAAGGTCTATGAGAGCAGGACTCTAGCATAAACCAAGTATTTAAATCCACCTTTACTTGATCTTCTATAGGATTATCAAGCAAGGAGATACATTGACCAAAAGGTTGAAGTAGGTGAGCCATTACTACCAGACTCGCATATCAGATATTAGTGGTTAGGTTTGTCATTTAACGAGATCTTTATTACCTGCTAATAATAAGTCATCAAAATTTTCTCAATTATATGTTTATGATATGTATAATGAGGTGCAAAATCGTCTGAAAGCTTTTAATTGCGACAAAAAGAATGAAAGGTTTGATCCAAAAATTGTAGAAGATTTAATCATGTGCAAACATTTTATGAATGCTTGCATTGTCTTAAGGGTACCCAAAAGCAACCGACGAAATCAAAATTACCCTACAAGATATGCAAGATTGTGTTGCAATGTTAAATTATGTGCTTATATATTGTATGAAAGATTATACTTGGAAGATATAAAAAATTGTGTTGCAAAGATCAATGTTGTTTCTTGGTAGTTTCTTTTTTTTGTTGGTTGTTTGAAAGCACTGAAATTTTAAATTTTAATGTGGAGATTTTGAGTTGTGGAGGAGACCCTTTTGAGATTAGGGTTTAATATCTTCATTAATACACATTTTTCTTATATGAATTTATATTATCATAAACTCTAATATCTTCATTTTTTTTTGTTGCTTTGCTATTTCAGGACAATTTACCTGTACTCTTCTGATGAAAGATAGAAAGGACTCCTTCAACATGGAACATAGAGATGTGATTAGAGTTCTTGCAGGGCTTCTATTTATTTAATTAACAATAACAATGATGAACCTCTTCACATTGCAAAGCTCATCGGTTCTGTTAACAGTTCTGGATGATTTGAGGTAACTAAGATTATCACTTCATTTCATCAATATTAGTTTTGGTAATTTATATTTTTATTTGTTTGAGCAATTAATTACCTACAAATCCAATTAAATTTTCACACAAAAACTTGAATTTTGTTTTAGTTTTAATATTTGGGGTTGGTAATTTATATCATTGCTTTAATTTCTGCAGGAATTCTACCCTGCTGGTTTTGGAAATCCCAAGTCATACTTCAACATTTCAGCAATGACATTATTGAATATGCCTTCAATGTAAGTTACAATTCTTAATTTTTGTTCTTTGCCCTTTACTTGATTTACTTTGTTCACATAAATTAATTAGGCTCTAATTTACAACTTTTAATTATTTGATCAGACCCTAGGAAAAGAGCTAAGAGCAGGACTTTAGACAACAAAAGGGCAAGAAATTTTTTGATTTGTTAAATGTTGCTCTTTCTTTATGTTCATAAGATAATTGACAAACTGGTTAATTACACAAGAAATTAACAACTTTTGGCCAACTAACCTTATTTTAATGCTTTAATGCGCTACTTCCCTGTTTCCAATCCTGCTTAAATATTGAAGAATGGCTATTCTTGCATGGTTGTATTGAACAGAAGCTATCCTCAAAGTAGCACGTGAGAATTGGAGGTGATCCCATCGGAGACCATTTGCACCTAATGATTCTCAATTTCTTGAGTGCACCAGTAAGTCATTTATTTTCATTCTCATTGACATTTGTTTTCCTTGATAACATAGTTGACAATGCTTTTAGCCTGTTATTATAATTACTACTAACAATTACTCTTAGAGAGATAGATGGATATACCAACTCATGCATTTTCAAGGAGTACTATAACAACATGATTGGAATTGGATAACAATACTTGCTATAACTTTGGTAAGGAATCGGTTCACAGTGTGGGGTTCATGGATTTGGATTTGGCATTCTCTGATATTAACCAAGGAGTGGAAATTTTGATTGGTTTGACTGGTAATTTGGGTATGCTGTTTACAACCAACATTTTATAATTATGAGAGAAACCGAGATCATTGTATTACATGTTTTATTAGCATTCAACATTTATAATTGTGAACCATCTTTGTCTGTTTATCAATTTATTTTTTATAGTTTTCAGTTTCCTAAAAGAAGTTTGATGTGTATGGAATTTCACAATTTATCTTCATTTGCATTCTTGCATTTGAACCTGCAAGTCAGTTTATGCTAAATGCTGTTTAATAATTTAGAGAAAATGTTTCAATTGATTGTCATGCAATGCAGTTGCAAACTTGATGATTTAGAATTAATTTATCAATCTTTCATACAATTTCTAATCCCGCAACAATGGGCGGGCAGCAATTTCTAGTTATTACTGTAACGTGAAACAAAAACAATTAGTGTTACACACGACAAAACAAAAACAATTTGAGTTACACACGACACGTATCTCTCCGCTGACTCAAACGTTTGACGCTTAAGATACAAACATTGGAAAAACTAAAAACAGAAACAAAATTAAATAGAAAAATCTCCCGCCATCCCCAAACATTAATAAGCCCTCAAAAATCAAGAATCTCGTATCAAATTTTTTGGATTTGGGATCGAGAAGATGGAGATGACGGTGGTAGATCTGAGCGCGTATTTGGAATCGGAGGAGGCGGGAGTGAAGGAGTTGTGCGGCGAGGTTAGTCGGAGTCTGAGAGAAACGGGAGCTCTGTTGGTAAAGGATCCCAGATGTACGGCGGAGGACAACGATCGCTTCCTTGATATGATGGAGAGGTACTTCGACAGTCCACCGGAGTTCAAGCGACTCCAGGAGAGGCCCCAATTGCATTACCAGGTGGGGTTCTGAACTATTTGTTTCCCAAGAAAATGTTGCCCACAAATGAAAAAAATTGAAATTTTGAATTTTGAAACCCAATTCGGTGATTACTGATTGGGGGCTCATCTGGGTACCCTTTTGATTTATTTTCATCCATTTTTTATCACTTGTATTTAATAGAAACTGTGTAAAATTGGGTCATTTGTGGTGTGAATTGAAATTGCCAAATCCGGTTGTTGTTGCTCAAAACATGGAAAGTGAGATAGGGATAACATATTTCAGGTTGGTGTGACACCGGAAGGCGTGGAAGTCCCCAGAAGCCTTGTTGATGAAGAAATGCAGGAGAAATTGAAAGAAATGCCCAAAGAGTCCCAGCCATCCATCCCCAAGGGGGCAGATCGCAAATGGCGATACATGTGGAGAGTGGGTCCTCGACCCTCGAAAACCCGCTTTCAGGTCTCTTCTTTCTTTGCTTTTCTGATTTTCACTTTCACAAAAACTGTTTAAAAGTCAATGCTTATTGTTCTACTTGCCATGATCAAGATGAAGAAGATGATAGTGATGCTATTCTTGTTTTATAGGAGCTTAATGCAGAGCCTGTCGTACCCGAGCAGTTTCCTGAATGGAAAGATACCATGGATTCGTGGGGTTACAAGATGATTTCGGCAATAGAGGTGAGCCACTGATTTGTGTTTTCAGATTGTTCAAGCTACGTGCTTGTTTTACAAATCATCCAATACCATCAAAATATTCATCATGTAAATGTTTACCTTCTTCTTTCTTTACAGGCTGTTGCTGAAATGGCTGCCATTGGATTTGGCTTGCCAAAGGATGCATTCACTTCTCTTATGAAGCAGGTGACCAATGACTGTCAATTGAAACTTGCATTCATGTCTATATTCATATTTCATATCTATATGCATGTCTATATGCCTTTCAATTCCATGCTAGGTTCTATATCGAGTATCCATCACTTTTCTTATCTTTAACCACCCTGCCACATATGTGTTCCCAATTCAAGTTGCATTCTATTGAATGCCTTCTGCTTTGCTCCATAATGCCACTAGTGTTTTATTTTAAAACACTTCTTAGTTTTGTTTTGTTTCTCCTACTTATAAGGATGAATTTGGACATTCTTCAATGACTTTATAACTTTATTAAATACATTGCCTTGTGGTCATTTATAGAGCAAAAACATGCATTTTGTCTACATGCTGCATTTTCGACAATCACCAACTTGTGGATTGAGTCGTGTCATGAACTAGACTCTCTTCCTTTGCATTTGCCGATTCCTGGATAAGTTTATGCGTTTTATGCTAAGTGCCCTTTGTTTTCGAACCCAGGGACCGCACCTTCTAGCTCCAACAGGAAGTGACCTTCGGCGTTATGGCCAAGAGGGTACTGTGTTTGCCGGATATCATTATGACCTCAACTTTCTAACTATTCACGGCAGAAGTAGATTCCCAGGTCTGAATATTTGGCTTAAAAATGGGCAAAAAGTTGAGGTGAAGGTTCCTGTAGGATGTCTTCTCATTCAGACTGGGAAGCAGGTAAAAATATTTGAGCTGTTGTGCTTTGTAATAAATCAATAATCGAATAGTTCTCAAAGCTAGTTGACCACCTGACTACAGTGACTGTCACTAGAAGGCACTTTGGATTTTGGAGTACAGTTACGCCAATGGAAAATACATTTTACACATTCTATATTTCCTAACTGTTGAAAGGACATATTTAAACTTAAATTTAACTACTTTTGAATCATCATTTATGTAGATGTTTAACTAGTAACTGAAGAAAAAAGTTATGCACATCTTGTGTTTGAAAGATAAAACAGAACGTATGCTAAAAATAAAATTTGGTGTGCTAATTGTACCAAAGAAAAAAGTAGGTGTGTCAATTTGGTGTGCTAAAAATTAAGTTCTCATTGATGCTTATAGCTGTTTTAGGTTGGTTTCCTTCGGCGTGTGTTGCTTTTTAATTCTTTATGCTAGTTGTATTCCATTCACACAATTTGTCATGTGCAGATAGAATGGCTGACTGCAGGAGATTGCATAGCCGGAATGCATGAAGTTATTGTAACAAACAGGACGATTGATGCAATCAAACTAGCAACGGAGCAAAATCGCTTACTATGGCGAGTATCTTCAACAGTGAGTGAAGCCAATCATTGTTGTCATTATTACCATCTCGTTCTCTTTGGTTTTATATAATTAAAATATCCCAATACAATGTATGCTTATTTGTGACATTTCTTGCCATGTAGTTGTTTGCACATATAGCATCTGATGCTGTGTTGAAGCCCTTAGGTCACTTTGCAGAATCCCTGCTTGTGAGTAAATACCCGCCCATTTATGCAGGAGAGTTCGTTGAACAGGAGCTTGCAGTAATCAATCTCAAAGGAAACAAAGAATAAGTTTGACAACTTGTTACATGTTGAAATCGTAACGTATTATAACGATCAGAACAACATTGTGAAAAGGCGTTTGTGGATGATATAAATTGTAATAAAGAAGGTTGGGTACGGTCAATTGTGCCGTGTCATTATTTATCTTTGTATCATGTACTGACATTCTTTTGCTTCTCCAGCAATTTTAGTTTTACCATTTCATTGCATTCTTGAGTATCTAGTTTTGGTTTCTTACTCGTCTTGAACTGTTTCGATTTGCACCATGCGTTTGAAAGGTGCAGGACGTTTTCTGAGTGATTTTCGTAGTCAATAGGATGAAGAAACTGATTAGAGATAAGCTGGAAAAATATAAATAAATTATAGAAAATACAAAGGGTCATGAAATTTGAGTTGAACAACTACAACAACTAGCACACTGTATTTTTGACTAGTTTTTTGTGTACCGATGAGCAACAGAGCTGGAAAATAATGGCATCATAGGTGTGACCTTTGAGTAGGATGGACATGCATGATAGCATGAGACCCTCGTCATCCCCTATAAATCCGAATTCGAGACACCTTCTCCCTAACACTACCAAAGCACAAGTAACAGTTAATCTTAGTTCTAACTTTCAATTAAGATGAGGTTCACAAGCAGGAAAATTATGGCTCTTCCAATTTTGGTGTTTGTGTTAGTGATGACAGGTTTGGTGGATCAAGGGCAGGGAACTACTTGTACAAGCACTTTCTTCTCGGCACTAGTTCAGCTAATACCCTGCAGAGTAGCAGTTGCTCCCTTCAGCCCCATTCCACCGAGTGAGACTTGCTGCAATGCCCTCAAAGTTCTTGGCCAGCCTTGCCTCTGTGTGCTCGTCAATGGCCCTCCGATCTCTGGCATTGATCGCAACATGGCCATGCAGCTCCCGGAGAAGTGCGCCGCCAACTTTGAACCATGTACCTTCTAGCTCCTCCCACACACTGCTTAAAACTGAGGAGCATATTTCCCTTTGGTGACAACTTTGAACCATGTACCTTCTAGCTCCTCCCACACACTGCTTAAAACTGAGGAGCTTATTTCCCCTTGGTGGTTTTATATTTTATGCGTCGATTTTAACTTTAATCTAGGATTTGTACTCGTTGGAGTTTGATTTCCGATGTAACAGATTGTTAGTTTGTTTTAATAATGAAGTATTATTAAACTTTAATACATTCCTAATCACTTGTTATAATGTTTGGCTTTGAGGGTTTGTTTGGTGACACAAACACTGAATATATGTTGTAAATTCTGCAACGTGCATCATTCTCGTAAGCAAGAAATATGTGCCAAAGGATATTGCTCACAGTTACTCCATCCACATGCCTAAGCCTACTTGTCTTAAACAAATATTGACACTAATCTTGTTTGAATTTCGAGCAGCATTTGCGCGATTGACTACCACGAGGAACCACAATTCGTAAACCCTTCCCTACTAGCGCAAAAATTGACACTAATCTTATTTATCACATTGCTAACATCTTTCACAGAGGTGAGAGTAGAGAGAGTGGATTCTAACGGAAACAGAAAAGGTGCATATAATCAACCAAACCTTTATCACTATCAAGTGCAAGAGTACAGATGAGTTAGATGGAGCTATCGCCTAAAAGACTCGGGATTTTACAATTGAAGATTCATATTGCATCACAACTAACACAAGAATAATTTGTACCGCTGATGTCTAGGGTAAGCTGTAAACATACAAGTCGACTGATGTTATTCATTAGAGTTGACATTTGAAATTGCACTGTAAAGACTCAAGGTTGCACAGCCTCCAGAAGTTTCTCATATACTTGCCTAGCAGACAAATCCTCTACCTGAAACAATCACCAAATGTTGAGGAAGAAAGCTAGCAAGATAAGTTAGATTAGTACATAAGAAGTTTCTTAGTTAAATTGGCATGTCACATGTCCTTAAGCAACTATAACTCTTAGGTCATTTAGGGGTCATCCTCATACATTGCTTTTATATTCATGCTACCATTACTTGTGATTGCTATTTTTTTTATAAACAGTACCGTTACTTTTGATAAGCTGTCCTATCCTAAGTTTTTCAGAGTAGATGTATCATGTATTTGTGCATCCAGAAACTAAATCAGTGAATAGAGTCTGACACCGAAGTTAATGTATGCAATCTTGGAAAACTTCTTTTGACAAAACCGATATTGCTCTCTCAGGGACATTTGAAACAGATTGTGATCATCAAGAAGCCACCCAATGAGTGAGTGAGAGAGAGAAAGAGAGATAGTAAAACTCATTTAACTCACCACAAGGAGTTTTGATTTGTTATTCCACCCTCTCTGAAGAGTCATCTGGCTTAGTCTCAGACCCAACACCTATGCAAAAAAGCAATTGTGTCAAGGCTTAAATTAACACTTGTTCCAAAAGATTGGGATCCTAAAAATTTAACAGACAAAGATGAAGCAGAATTATACTTTGGCCATGAATTCCAAGAGCTCGTTGTTTGCTTCTCCCCGAGCAGCAGGTGCAGCTACAGTGACTCTTACATCGTCAGCATTCACTCCTGGCATAAGAGAAAGGAGTGTGTAAATTATCAGCGATCTAAACTTCCAGCAAACAATTAACTTTTGGCAAGTATTACATATTAAAACTGCCAACTACAGGAGTTGTGGGATGCATACAGACCTCAAAAGGACCAGTACTTGCCATACAAGAAATCCAAAAACCCAATTCAAGTACATGCAGGAAATTCTGACTTATGATAGTAATCTGACCTAACAAGCAAGCATTGCATGCTGAATAAGATGACAGAAAACCATTTAATACTCTCTTACTTGTGATCGCTGAGCGTTGTGCACGATCTTCCACTTCTATAGCCACTTGAACGAGTCCCCCTTCTAGGTTTGATATACAAGGTGGCACAGGAGCATCCTACACACATCACATTACCCAATTAGTAAATATGGATGGAGTGATTATATATGGATGTTCATAAAAAGAAAACATGACAACATTGCAAAAGGGAATTGATATGCTCATGTAGAAACAAATTGTTCAGTTGCTGGCCCAAAATCTACGTTTACAATCCAAAAGATGCATGACAAGGAGGATATAGTGAGACATACACAGCCCTTTATTTATAATCCTTTTCCAGAATTGGGGTACCACACAAGATGATGGTAAAAAGCCTTCTGTAAATTTTCTTCATACCTGTGGGTTGGTTTCAGCAGCAACTGTGCTTAGAGCACCATCAACAACATAAATGAAAGAAGCACCTTCCAAGTCTTCTTCCGAGCGATAGAGAACAAAGAGTCCACAACCCACACAGTTCATTCGAAATTGCTTCTCCAATTTCCCTTCCCCTCTGAATAATTATATCAACCAAGATTTCATGGCATCAACAATGCTGCAACATCATAACAATTGTACTCGAAAAACTAATCACAAAATCAAGCTTTGCTTAAAAAAGGTGTAGTTGCAAAATACTTTCCCAAATACGAAATAAACTACAATAAACTGAGGGCCGGTGATCAGCTGGTGTTAAACATACATACATCAGTGACAACACCCAATTTTTAACTCAGACTAAAGAAATTAAGCACCTTTTCAACAAAACCTTTCCAGCCTCAGCAATATTGAGCCTTGCAAGATGCTTGCTCTTGTCCAACACATAAGCCTTGTCCGTCTTCCTCTTCGGCATTTTCTGCAATTGGGTATCTTACACAACACACACTTCAGTATAGTTTGTAGCCCCCATAATATTATTCAAGACACTATCTTTTCAGAAACAGCGATTATACCCAATACAAAATTACCATTTAAATCAACTTTTCTTTTCAAGCTTATAAATTTCTAATCATACAATTAATCCAAGTAAAACCAATATATATATATATATATATGTATATGTATCTAGAGAGAGAGGAGAGAGAGAACCAGTTATGAGGAGGTGGGATCCACAGTGCTTGCAGTAATAGACGAAGAGATCAGAGTCAGGTCCATCCGGAGCTGCGTCCTCGCTCGAGTACGTGTGTGTTGTTCTCTTCGGCATTCCTTTCTTCTCTCTCTCTACTCTCTCCCCTCTTCTTCTCCTTCCTACCGCCTACTGGAAATTGGGAATTGCTCCAGGTCGACGTAGGTGCGTTAGGCCATAAGCGCGCAAAGGACCTAAAACGACGGCGTATCTTGTGTCATGTTCTGTCGTACTAATATTATTTAAACTTGTTGGGCCGTACCATTATTTTTTCGGCCCGGCCCATTTAGACGATTCCGCATATAGCCAGCAAAATCCAATTGCCTATAAAATTGTTAGTACCCTAAAAATATCCACCCCTCACTCTCTCTCGCTCTCGCTCCGCAGCTCTCTCGCTCTTCAGGTAATCTCACATCCATTGCTAAAGATCCTTACTTTTTATCTAATCAGAGTGTTTTTGGATATACAATTCATGAATCTGTGTGGTAATTTTGTTTTCACAGTCAACTGAAATCGTTTTCTAGTTTTTCTTTCATTCCTTCGACTAAATTGATTAGGAATTTTCAGTAAAACCCTAGAAAGATTTTTAATTTTCTAGTAATTGAATATTTGGCACTGATGGTTATGTTGGAATTTTGTGTAAATATTGTATTTTTTTTTTGGGGTAATCATCTAGGGTTAAAAGACTATATTTTTTTTTTTGTATGGGTGGCAGGAAAAATCACCGCAGACCTAGCAATGGCAGTCACATTCTTTGACGTCAACTCAGCCTCCGGCCTGAAGAAACTCGATGACTACTTGCTTGCTCGCAGTTACATCACTGGATATCAGGCTTCCAAAGATGATATCACTGTGTATGCAGCTCTTTCAAAGGCCCCTTCTTCCGAATTTGTGAATGTGTCTAGGTGGTACAACCACATTGCTGCTCTTCTTAGGATTTTGTAAGTTCGTAAAACTTTTGATGGATTTGTTTTTTTTGTTTGTTATTACTTCTAATGGATTTCTTTGATTTGTGAACACTTTTTTGAATTATTTGATTATATTCATTGTTGTAGTGGTGTAACCGGAGAAGGATGTGGTGTCACTATTGAGGGATCTGCTCCTATCACCGGGGAAGCAATTGCTACACCGCCTGTAGCTGATACAAAGGCAAGTATTTTTCTTCCCTATTTGCCAAGTGCGTATTTGGATGTCTTCGTTTTAATTTTCAATATATTTAAGGATAATTGCAATTTGCGAAGTTGGACTGTGTTGCTTTATCAGTTTGAAAAACTTGCATAAGATTGTTATACTGATGTATTAGAACATGATATGATTTTCAGGCCTCGGCTGCTGAGGATGACGATGATGACGATGTTGATCTCTTTGGGGAAGAGACCGAAGAGGAGAAGAAGGCTGCCGAAGAACGTGCAGCTTCTATCAAGGCATCAACAAAGAAGAAAGAGTCTGGCAAGTCGTCGGTTCTGTTGGATGTGAAGCCATGGGATGATGAAACTGACATGAAAAAGCTTGAGGAGGCTGTAAGAAGTGTCCACTTGGAAGGCTTGCATTGGGGAGCATGTAAGTTCTTCCTTCATCTAAGGGTTATTTGTTGTTAAAGAGGACATATTATTGTGTTACTAGTGTGGAAGCTAATGTTTTGTTATGCAAATTTTAGTCTTGATGCTAATTCGGTATTATTACTTTCTTAATGGTGCAGCCAAACTTGTAGCTGTTGGGTACGGGATTAAGAAGTTGCAAATAATGATGACAATAGTTGATGACCTGGTCTCTGTTGACACTCTCATTGAGGAACATCTTACCGTCGAACCCATTAATGAGTATGTTCAGAGTTGTGACATCGTAGCCTTCAACAAAATATGTAAGTGACCATTTCATGGCTTTTAGTTAGGGTAATTATCCTACAAGATGGGATTTGTGCATTGTCCTGGAGTATGAATGTATCCTTATGGTGTTAATTTACGCTTGCCCTCGTTTTGATTGCAGGATTCGAACTTGCAGAGATGTATGATGATAGAGGATGCTAGGATTGGAGCTTGCACACGGGTATCTTGTTGCTTAGTGGCATGATATGAGAGACTTATATGATCTTTGGTTTTGATGTATTTTAGGCTAGCATTCCCTTGATGGATAGTTTCTGAAGCCGGTTGCTTGTTTGGTAAATTGGTATGATTTCAGTTAATGTAAAAAACATAATTTCAGTTTTGTTATGGTTGTTATGGTGGTGTTTGGCAGTTTGTTTTCGACTCAAAAGAAGCTTGGCAATCCTTTTGATCTTTCTCAAAGGACTTGGTACAAGTTTTTTAATAAGAATAAATTGATTGCATGTGAGAGAAGTGTTTGGTTGCCAAGAAAACGTCTTCAGAGAAATTATAATTCAAATATATTCGATGAAACAAACAAATCAATGGGGGAAAGGGTAGTCCTGGGATAAGAGAGAAAAGTTCTGTTTGGCAGTCAATTCCTACTACGGGGGAAAAAAATACCATTAGACTTAATGGATTTTAATTTTACATTTTTATACAAGCAATGTCAGAGGGGGATAAACTCCGCCTATGTCTTACATGGCCGGTCCCAAGCCCGGATAAAGGAGGAGGGGGAGGGCGTCAGGTAGTCGACAGCCGGCACTCCATGATCACGTCGAATCCTTATGAAAATGAATCCAGAACAAAATCGCGCTAAAGCTAGGGCGTCATCCGTAAGTGGCGCGCTGTGTGGCCCGAGCACAGTGATAAGTGAGCAAGGGTCGCTGTATCTCCATCGGCACCCGGATGCAGTGTTAAATGAGCAAGGGGGCTATAGAAACTTCTTTTCGAACGACTCCACTCAAAGTTGTTTGGGAGCATATGCTACTATCAACTTTACCCGGGACACACAAAAGAAGTACTTTGATCCTATTAGACGGGGGAGGGTGAAGAAGCTAGGACAGAAGGGTAGAGTTCAAGAGAGCAAAATGCGTTTAGGAACGTGGAATATAGGAACCTTAACGGGAAAATCTATGGAAGTAGTGGAAGTTATGGTGAGGAGAAGGATAAATATTATGTGCCTACAAGAAACTAAGTGGGTTGGTAGTAAGGCAAAGGATCTAGAAAACTCAGGGTTTAAACTTTGGTATTCGGGCACAAATAGAACGAGAAACGGTGTTGGCATCATCGTGGACAAGACCTTGGTACAAGATGTTGTAGATGTCAAGAGGGTAGGAGATAGAATCATGGCAATCAAGATTGTAATAGGACAAGAACTTATCAATGTGATTAGTGCGTACGCACCTCAAGTAGGGTTGGATACGAGTTCGAAGGAGAAATTTTGGGAAGATCTTGGAGACTTGGTGCAAGGAATTGCTCAGACGGAGAAGTTATTTATAGGAGGAGATTTAAATGGACACGTGGGCAGGGAGACAGGCAACTATGGAGGTTTTCATGGTGGCCATGGTTTTTGGGGAGAGAAACGAGGATGGGGAAGCTATCTTGGATTTTGCAATGGCATATGATCTCTTCTTAGCCAACACCTTCTTTAAGAAGAGAGAAGAACATGTGATCACCTACAAGAGTGGGTCGTCAAAAACACAAAAATAGATTTTCTTCTAATGAGGAAAGGGGATCGTATAACTTGTAAGGATTGCAAAGTTATACCAGGAGAGAGCGTGGCTAATCAACATCGCTTGTTGGTGATGGATGTACATATCAAAAGAGTAAGACAAAAGAACAAGACTTGGAAGTGCCCAAGGACTAGATGGTGGAATCTAAAAGAAGAAAAACAAGCCATTTTCAAAGAGAAGGTAATCACCCAATGTGTGTGGGATAGAGAGGGGGAAGCTAGCCAAATGTGGGATTCCATGGCTAGTTGTATCCGAAAAGTAGCAAAAGAGGTATTAGGAGAGTCCAAGGGCTTTGCCCCACACCAAAAGGAATCTTGGTGGTGGAATGAGGAGGTACAAACAAAGGTGAAGGCTAAGAAGGAATGTTGTAAAGCCTTATACAAGGAGAGGACCGATGAAAATGGTGAAAGGTATAGAAAAGCGAAGCAAGAGGCGAAGAAAGCTGTCAGAGAAGCTAAGTTAGCGGCTTACGACGATATGTATAAACGACTAGATACCAAAGAAGGAGAGTTGGATATCTATAAACTATCTAGAGCAAGGGAAAAGAAGACAAGGGACCTAAACCAAGTGAGGTGCATCAAGGATGAGGATGGAAAGGTTCTTGCTACAGAGAACGCGGTTAAAGACAGATGGAGAGGTTATTTTCATAATCTTTTCAATGAAGGACATGAAAGGAGTGCTTCTTTAGGGGAGTTGAGTAACTCAGAAGAGTGTAGAAACTACTTTTTTTTATCGTCGAATCCGGAAGGAAGAAGTGGTTGTAGCTTTGAAGAAGATGAAGCATAAAAAAGCAATAGGCCCAGACGATATACCAATCGAAGTGTGGAAACTTTTGGGAGAGACAGGTATAACATGGCTCACTGACCTTTTCAATAGGATTTTGAAAACGAAGAAGATGCCAAATGAGTGGCGAACGAGCACTTTGGTGCCTATCTACAAGAATAAGGGCGACGTACAAAATTGCATGAACTATAGGGGTATTAAGCTAATGAGTCATACAATGAAGCTCTGGGAGAGAGTCATTGAGCATAGATTGAGGCAAGAGACACGGGTTTCGGACAACCAATTCGGGTTCATGCCAGGGCGCTCAACCATGGAGGCAATCTATCTCTTACGAAGATTGATGGAAAGATATAGAGATGGGAAAAAGGATTTACACATGGTCTTTATAGATTTGGAAAAAGCGTATGATAGGGTCCCAAGAGACATTCTTTGGAGGATTTTAGAGAAGAAAGGAGTACGAGTAGCATATATCCAAGCTATAAAGGATATGTATGAAGGAGCAAAGACTGCCGTAAGAACTCATGAAGGACAAACCGAAAGCTTTCCCTATAACTGTAGGATTACATCAAGGCTCATCCTTAAGTCCTTACCTTTTTGCGTTGGTAATGGATGAGTTAACAGGACATATTCAAGATGATATTCCTTGGTGTATGCTTTTCGCAGACGATATAGTGTTGATAGATGAAACTCAGGAAGGGGTAAATGCAAAGCTTAACCTTTGGAGAGAAGTGTTGGAATCTAAAGGTCTTCGCCTAAGCCGATCAAAGACAGAATATATGGAGTGCAAGTTCAGTGCAAATGGAGGCCAAAACGAGTTAGGGGTGAGGATCGGAGATCAAGAAATACCAAAGAGCGACCGTTTTCGTTACCTAGGATCTATCTTGCAAAAGAACGGAGAATTAGATGGAGATCTCAACCATAGAATACAAGCTGGATGGATGAAGTGGAAGAGTGCATCCGGCGTGTTGTGTGACCGCCGTATGCCACTGAAGCTCAAGGGAAAATTTTATAGGACGGCAATAAGGCCGGCGATGCTGTATGGCACAGAATGTTGGGGCGGTGAAACATCAACACGTACACAAAATGGGTGTAGCGGAGATGAGGATGCTTCGTTGGATGTGTGGGCACACGAGAAAGGATAAGATTAGGAATGAGGATATCCGGGGTAAAGTAGGAGTAGCCGAAATTGAAGGAAAGATGAGAGAAAATCGGTTACGGTGGTTTGGACATGTGCAAAGAAGGCCTACTGACGCTCCGATTAGAAGATGCGACTATGGGACAGAGGTTCAGGGCCGAAGGGGTAGAGGAAGACCTAGGAAAACTTTGGAAGAGACTCTAAGAAAAGACTTAGAGTACTTGGATCTAACGAAGGACATGACACAGGATCGAGCACAATGGCGTTCTAAGATTCATATAGCCGATCCCACTCAGTGACTTGGATTTTCCAAGTCTCCAACCGAGAAGTTTTCCTCACTCGGGAAATTAAGGGAACACTACCCCAACCTACATGCTCCACTCAGAAAGCTTCAACATACAAGCTTCAACACAAAAGAAAATTCAAAGAACTTAGCGAAGAAGGCTTTGGTGTATTTAACACAATACGTTGAAATGAAGGAAAGCTTATTTATTGATATCCCCGATAAGCTACAAATATGTACATATACATGAGTCAAAATAAACACACAAGAGGGAGCCTTCACAAAGGTTGCTTAGGAGAAGTCTCAGCAGTCGGTAGAGCCCCAGAAAGAGAAGGCACCGGAGGGGGATCATTTGGAGCCTCAGTACTGGACATAACCCTAGAAGGAGGAGGCATCAGAGGTTGATCATTTGGAGCTTCATTACGCGGTACAGCCCCAGAAGACGAAGGCAATAAATGCCTTTGGAACAAACCCACAAATCTCTGATGATCAAGTAAAACCTGACCATCAGTTTCCTTCATCTGGTCAAGCTTCCTCTTCATGTTTGTAGCATAGTCATGTGCGAGCCGGTGCAACTGTTTATTCTCATGCTTGAGCCCTCTAATCTCCTGTTTGAGACTCATCACTTCAGCCGCCAATGATTCAACTTGGCGGGTTCGAGCAAATAGGCGTTGGGCCATATTAGACACACAGAACCTGCACACTGAACACTGAGAGCCAGCGAATCCTTAACAGCTAACTCATCAGACCGTTTGGAAAGTAGTCTGTTATCTTTGGGAGTGAGAAGGTTCCTGGCCACCACCGCAGCGGTCATATCATTCTTCATCACGGAATCCCCAACGGTAAGAGGACCAGTAGGGGAGACGAAGGATGGGCGCCATATGTTGTCTGGAGAAGGCGGGGCTGCCTCTTCAACAAGGTTCAAGTCAAAACGACGGTCGGAGGGGCCAGACATTTTCAAAGGTGTTGAAGAGAGAAGAGGTCGGACAAATCAAGATCTTAGAAGTGCAAGAATGAAGCTTCTACTGGTGGAGATTCAAGTGTGCTTTGGAACTTAATGCCAGCCCCTATAAAAATCTGCACTCGACGGAGCTTCAGAAATCGAAGAGGCGTTTGCTTTCTCAAAAGCTGGGCTGCTTAGAGATCACGAGGGTTGATCTCAGAAATCGAAGAGGCGTTTGCTTTCTCAAAAGTTGGGCTGCTCAAAGACCACGAAGGCCGATCTCAGAAATCGAAGAGGCGCTCGCTTTCTCAAAAGCTGGGCTCCCCAGAGACTACGAGGGCCGATCTCAGAAATCGAAGAGGCACCTACTTTTCCAGCCTTGTCAGCACCTGTCACACGCACACTCAGCTTTGCGGAAATTATGGGCATTCTGTCAAAGACTTCTGGGGAAGTAGAAAACACATGAATCTTACTGTTCAATCACCCACTTCC